TATGTGTGAATAAGAAGTTAAACGAGGATTTGAAATATTCTGAAAATAATTCATGATTTATACATGTAAACACGACTACTCACGATATATATTACTTATTTGGAGTCTATCGTCATGTGACGGGTATTTTCCAGCACGGTCGGCATAGTACAATTTTACACACGAAAAGAAAGGAAGGACAACATCTAGTTTATATTACACGAGATCTGACGAACAATTTAACCAGCAGAAGGCTTAGAATGATGAACTGTTTATCGATATTGTCGTCTGTGATAGAGAAGACCCCTCACAAAGCTAGAATTGTTTTACTGTAATACATCAATATGTTCTGAATTAATCATAATAAAAGTCTGTATTATACACACGTAAGTATGGTATGGCAATTAACAGCGTGTATGTCAGTCAGCCTGCTTGTATGTAGGTATACATATGGATATATGTCATTGTCTGTCTAAGTATGCCTGGTGTCTGTATCTATGTATGTCTGGGTGGGTATATATCTGTCTGTCTGTTTGTCTGAGTAATGCTGTATGTCTGTTTGTCTGAGTAAGGCTGTATGTCTGTTTTTTGTCTGAGTATGTCTGATGTCTGCATCTATATATGTCTGGGTGTATGCCTGTCTGTCTGTCTGTCTGAACATGTCTGAGGTATGTATCTATGTATGTCTGGGGGTGCAAATGTGTTTATCTCTAAGGATATATTCTTCAGCTCATATTATAAACATGTAATTTTTGTGAAACAATTTCAGACATGGTGTTTATTTAGAATACTTTGATTACTCTTATCATTATTATTCTAATCATGAAAGGTAACGTTTCCCAACCCTCCACGGTCATTTATCTACAACCATGAAAGCATCAATAATGTTCATAACACACCTCTTATTACTCTCTGCTACTATTTCTCACACAATTTCTTTGCAACCCTTTCTTATTAACTACCTACTGTTTACTCGCCCAGGTAGCCGATCGACGCAATACACGAATCGTGTATTGTCTGTCTGTTAACTGATTATAGGAAACTCTGTAGAAATGTATGGAGCGTCGATCAGGTTGTTCCACCGCAGATATTACTTATCCTCTACATCAGTAAAATTCTCCTTGGTTTTGGGTCATCCTTACTGCTGCTGACTATGTTTCTGAATAGCGAATTACGTTTTACTACCTACTTGTACATTTATACGATGCTGAATGAAGTATTATGTCAATTAGACCTTTATTGTAACAACTCTCCGTTTGTCTCTTTTGATAATTCTACCACTAAGTGGTGATACTAAGATGAACCCCGGTCTATTTCTATTTTTTGTGTTGTGTACACTAAGTGGTGATATTAAGATGATACCTGGTCTTTCTATTTTTTGTGTTGTGTACACTAAGTGGTGATATTAAGATGGTTTCTGGTCTTTCTATTTTTTGTGTTGTGTACCACTAAGTGGTGATATTAAGATGAACCCCGGTCTATTTCTATTTTTTGTGTTGTGTACACTAAGTGGTGATATTAAGATGATTCCTGGTCTTTCTATTTTTTGTGTTGTGTACACTAAGTGGTGATATTAAGATGATTCCTGGTCTATTTCTATTTTTTGTGTTGTGTACACTAAGTGGTGATATTAACATGATTCCTGATCTTTCCATTTTTTGTGTTGTGTACACTAAGTGGTGATATTAAGATGGTTTCTGGACTTTCTATTTTTTGTGTTGTGTACACTAAGTGGTGATATTAAGATGATTTCTGGTCTTTCTATTTTTTGTGTTGTGTATCTTATACCTGCACAAAATACACTAATGATCTTACTCTGAATAGTACAGAAGTGAGAGTGGCATTTTGCACTGGGATGTGATTGATTTCCCAACTAAAACAATTTCTGTAATTACTACAAACGTATCTATAACAAAAACATAAACATTCCATGTGTTTTGTGTTTAACGACCAAATGTGATATATTAAACTTGAAACAATTAGCAATAAAAATCTATGGAGCAAAAATATCGTCATTGTTTATTATACTACAAGAGTTTAAATTATTGACCAATTTTCCTTTGAACATCTTATATAATTAGTAACAGGAAGTCTAAAATAGGCATAAAATACATATTAAAATATCTCAAGTTAGTCATTCACTATATATCTTTCTAGTATTAGTTTTCTTAATATCAATATATCTGGATGTGAATTATGCCCTAGGGGTTTGTCTCAACTTGTGATTGTGTTGCATGTTGCCTATTTATATCAAAGCACGTCACTTTCGGTGTGATATAATCAGAAAAGCGATGTTCACACTTAAATATATAAGTGATAAATACTTGGCCTTGAAACATTGATTTTGAAAAATTACGTAAGCACAATAAATTGCTTAATAATCTTTTCTAAACGCAAATATGGATTCGAGACCGATCATGAAACACGTAGTGAGGCCAATAGGGATTTACATGTTATGATATTGATCCAAATCTTATTTGCCTTTATTCTGTTTGATTTCTTTTGTCAAAGTTATGTTTGTTCCTGTTTGATTGATCTCTTCACAAGGTAACAATAAAAAGAACCGTTAATACTACGAAAATAATTCGTTTTTAAATGTGTTGCAACTGAATAGAAATAAATCAATCTTTCTCGAAATATTGCTTTCCTTAAAATAGAATTCAGATAAGGAGAGCTGGGCCACTCAATAGAGATAAAAGAGTGAATGTTGTAGGATCAGATGATGCTACATATTGCCAAGTTGGAAAACTAATTGCCGGATGCAGTTTCTGATGAAGGCAGGTGTTTTCATTGTGACATTTGTTGCTGTCCTCTCGAGACATTTGTGTGTCATTAGATTAGTCGGGGACTACATACCATGTTACTATTTGCTTTTGCAAAACTTTCATTAGCAAACGATCTGTTGTTTGTGTCACATGATACAGGGCGTGATTCTCCCAATCAAAATATACCAGAATCTCAAGCTAATATCCAAATTCTGATCTTTATCTCTTGTCACATTAAGAGAGATGTTTCATTCGATTTGAAAATGCACTTGATATTTTTCCAATTTCAGTTTAAGTTTCAATTTCATCTCTCAAGTCTCGAACTTGATATTAAGCATTTGCATGGGCCTGGGTTTATTTCAGATACATATATGGAGCAACTAGACAGAGAGGGAGAAGATGATCGTCAGACACTCGATGTATCTTTCAATCTCATGTAGGGCCATTTTGGTAGACCTACACATTGGATACAAATTTATCATTTTTTCCATTTCACGATTTTAAACACCGACGGAAAATACGTCTTCCTTGAACTGTCAAGTAAATATATTTTTTCGCAAAACAGATGGATCATACCAAAGATTTTTTTTATGTTTATGTCATTGTTTAAACATATTTCTTTGATGTTCGTGTTCAAAAATGCATTTCAAGATGAAATGCGCTGGAATTTTACTGTACAGGAGTTACTGTCGTGACATCGGGACATGTGCCTCGACATTCGATTAGAGTTAGTATATAACTGCATCCGATTCTCAGCTCTTGAACATGATGTTTCATTAAATCTACGAAGTGGGTTCCGCTTATAACGCACCGCCTTTTCTTCTTGTACCATCACTGTGATCCTCGTTTGAATATTTCTTTTATCAAACCATAGGTTTCACTCATGTCTGAGATTTAACACAGGTATTCCTTTGTTTCCATAAAGAATGAGGAAATAATTTGGAAAAATACTACTCATTCTTTAACGGTAAAATATATTTTTATAGTTTTACCTGAAAATGCAGTCACTATTGCATATTGCATTGTTCCGTCAATTTCAATATTATGATAATAACAGAAATCAATTCATCAATTGGTTCAATAAGTTTATTTTGATATTCAACAACGTTCTGGCCATGAATACACTTTTTACACATATGATAGCAATCTTCATAAAACAATGATATTCACAACCAAATATACCCCCGTCAACACAATATTGTCATAGCATATATCACCTTTACGCTCTGGGACAACGGCCCAATCGGCAGAGTACAGCATAACATAACCTATGGAGTTACGTCATCAATATTGCACACGTTTGATAGCCTATTTCTCACAACAAATCCTCAATATTTGCCCATCGAGTTTAGTCTTTGAGTATTTCTTTTGGCTCCAATGTCAGAAACAAAAATGAGATATTGATAAAGGTTCAATCTTAATTATCGCCAAAAGCACAAGGCCAAAATCCTGTGGTAAAAAAAACAAGAAGATAGGCACAACAAATACAAATGAGACACCGAGTCGAAATGAAAACTTATTCAACACCGCCCATGCCTTCCAAATCTAAGAAGAAATAAAATTCGAAATGAAAAAATATATATATATTTCATATATATTTCATTTATAACTGTTTTCCTGGCTAAATATTTGCTTCTGGCACCGGAGCTCAACTGGATGTAAAAGGTCAACATGGATATAAATATGAAGCTACTATAAATGATTAAATATAATGAGCTTAATCATCGCGCTCTTATAAAGTTTCAAATAAAACCAATATCAGCGTTAAACCGTCTGTCGTATCTCCATGTAGGAACAATAAACAAAAACACGTGTTCTCTAAGGAACATTACCAGTCACTAGTTCTTCCTTAAAATATCAATATACAAATACCAACAAGTGTTTGAAGTTCTGATATATACCGAAACAACAAAATATATCATTTGGACATTAAAAAACCCAAAAGATTCAGCGTTTTCTTAAAAGGAAGCTTTGAACAGCAGGTAATGAAAGTCAACACACAACATAAGTTGTCCCCCTTGATCGTGATATCGTATTTTATCTAAATCCATACTACCGCAGACCTTATTCGAACATCCGCTTTTATTTCTGTACATAAATATATGAAAGTTTTAGAGCTCATTACTCAACATGAACATCAATATCAAAAGAATGGGAAAAGTTAATATGATGTTTCAAAACGATCTGGAGTTTGGAATGTTTGGTTCGCCAGGATTCTGTCTAACAGACGAAAAAATAATAATTACGAAAGGAAAAAAAGAAAGAAGGAAATATGAACTAATTTAACGGATAAAAGATTGCTGTAATTTTAGCCATATTCCTTGTTAATAAATCAAAATTTCGTGTGAGTATGTATGATTTGGTTATACCATAGACCTAATGCAATTCTATTGTCAGCATGAGCGTATGGAAAGTGTTTAAAGTAATGTTTCATCAAAGGAAACAAACGCCAAATGAATAAGTATGCTCAGTAGTGTTGTTGATGATGTTACGAAGAGATATTTATTCCATCTATTAAGTGTCAGACTACACATGGTCCAGATGCTGAGCAGTCCAATTCACCTACCTAATCAACTTATGCACTGACTCGTCTGCAGTCTGGTGGAAGACAGCTGCCGACGTCATGGTATATGTTGTGACTACCACATCACACGTGCTGTATCCAAGGAAATTTCACTTGACACATTAGTGCGTGCGTTTGTTTATTTAATCAAAATGTCTTCAAAATATTGGATTAAAAAGACCACTCTTTGTAATTAAATGGAATGAAATTCTAAGATTATTTATAATATACACTTTTTTATGTTTATAACCTTTATTCCGTAAATAACAAATATGATTTATTAATCAGTTGACGAACTTTATGACAATTTATAACATTTGGGAGGATTCCTACTTTAAGATCTCTTAGAATTGATTTTTTTTTTGCTAGATTTAGAATTAAACGTCAATTAGTAAATGGAATAGAAGAGAGAATTCTTTCATCGACTTGATGTCTAGACAGAATTGTTTGATGTTTTATCACGTAATAAAAGTCTGTAAAAAACTGTATAGCTAATACTGCAGACGAAAGACAATACACAGAAAATCGACCGATCCTGTTGTCTATATGTAATCCAATCGTCTGTATGACCTATTACAACACAATATTATAAACTACGTATAATTCATCATCAAGGGTATTGCGTAATAAAGCGGATGCTGATAAAAATTGATCCCAATCATGCTTTCTGTGGGCGTTACATGTGTCATGGCTTGAGTCTAGTATCACCCTTGTAGTATCGGTCCTCGTCTGAGTCTTACCTATATATGGAGATGTCCAACAAATTGTGCCAAATTTGCATACTTTACATTTATAATGGAACCTATATATTGTGACCCAGGATCATTCTTATTATTTCAATTGTTTTTTTAATACAATGGGACGCACTAGGTTTAGAAAACATTTTTCCAGTATAATTTTCTATGACTTCCTATGACCTAACTTCCTTCATTAAAATGTAAATTTAGCAAGGATTGACAACAAAATTAGAAATATTGTTCTTATAATATACGATTATGCGTTTGGTTAGAAAATGTGAGTGTGTACAATACTCAATACAAAGAGGATTAAGTTGATGTCAAAATTAAAACTATAAGTTTGTAGTGTTTTTTCTAAACAAGCCCTCGGCGTATCTAGTCTTTTTCTGAACAATCCCTCGGTGTGTCTTCATCTCATCAACTTAGAATATAGATACCATCACCCCAATCGTCGATGTCCAAAACGTTTATTGGATAATACAGGACTTTATACCAGTTGGCCACATAGGTAAGGGAGGTAACTCTTAGTCAGTGAAATGGAATTATTTTACACTACGCTTGATTGTCATAAAACTGGAATATGACTAGAATTTTAATCAATTTTTTTCTTATTTGTGACATCAGACTAGAATAAAAATCATAATTATATGAAAGAATGCTTTTTATCTGAAAATAACAATATAAAATGAACGTAAATTATATAAAATATTTAGATTTTATCTTAATAAACCAACTGCATTGCAGGAGATTAAATACACTCATGTCATTCAATAAATGAGGGCTGATTGGTTAATGTAATCCCATGTGTTAATTAAATAAAATCTGATACCACATATACCCTGTAATATGTAAAACACTAGCACCAGGATGTATAGTACTTGGTCTTAAAATACCCTGACAATCATCAAACTGTAAACAACTTCATAGCAGTTATCAATAAAGCGGTAATTACCCAGCTCCAGCTTCATTAACCATTAACTAGCTTAATGACACAAGAAAAGCATATATATGACGTTTAAAAACTCATTATCAGTTTTTTTTCGCTTGCATATCTTCATACAGTGAGCCTTACAAATATATAACAATTTTTTTCATGAATTGCGAAGCTCTCTGCTCCTCGCTGTGTCATTTCATATCCATCTTTCATCCTTTTGTTCATGTCGTTTACTGAAATTGTATCAACAACTGAAATTAAATAATAATTATAGATAATAAAATAAAATCGGTCACTAACTTTACATATATGTCACCAGACAGGTAACAAATACATTTTCACATTTTAGGAAAATTGCTTTACTTTATTAACTATTACTAAAATAATTTCTGAAATAAATAGCTAGTTTAGATAATGTCGTCATATGTCGGTAAGCTAAATAGGATTTTGACTGGTAACTGTAATCGGCCTTACACACTTGTGCCGGAGTCAGCCGCTTATAACCTTACAATGGAATGGAAATTTAAAACACACATGACGAAGAAATAGACCAGCCAGTAAAATCATCACATGAAACAAACAACACGTATTTATATCAATATTAATTATGAATGACAAGTTTCGCTTAGCCAAATGATATTAATCTTTAACGTCAGTTACAATCATACCTAATACTATATAACAACTCACGTTACGAATCCAAAAACATGAGGCATTTAAACACCATATCATGTATGGATGACACCCTGATAAATACTTTTAATGATAACTAGAAAGGTTCTGAAATTATTGCATTACAATTTTGTTTACATACGTCAGAATGTACTTAACTATGGGGAAATAACCACAAGTCGAAATAATTATCATATTTCACAAAAAAGGAGTAATTTTGATTAAGGGTCTTTCTATCAATTTATATATAGTAATAATTGATGCTGTTGAACAAAAAACTTAAAAAATGGGATATATCATACATGAAAGCATTCAACAGTTAAACCAGTTTTCTGGTCACGTGATCAAACCACAGGCTCCACGATAATTTGTAAATAGACGGCGATTGTTTTAAGTTTACTTAATATGGATTTTATTTCAATGGATGGTTATCAGAAACTAATGGTTTGATCGCATGCCTCACTTTTCATATTTTTTATGACAAACATGATTTTGATAAGTATCAATAGTATTGATATTAAGAAATATTAATCATGGGAAATATCACAAAGGACCCTGGCCAAGCTTTTATAAATAAATAAAAACACAAACAAATTCTCCAATATTTGATAATGCTTATGCTATGGCAAGACTTTAGGCACTAGGCATCAACCCCGACTTGCGTAAAAAATACGAAAGTCAACACGTGCTATCAACAAAATGGCAACGATAATCCATACCAGCTTCCAAAGACAAAATGTCATCAAGCAGGGGCAGATAACTGGTCTAAATTGAGCACAAGGGTAAAAGATGGAAAAATAATACTGTTATTAAGATCATGCACATATCGCCATCACCTATTCATTAATTTTGATTTGTAAAGTGAGCCATTCGTTTTAGGAATTTTTCTCGTGCGGTGTGGACGATCAGTGGAGGAATACGAATCTGAGAACGCCGTCCCAGACATGGAAGCACCCGGTGACGTTAGATTTGTCGCGGACTTATTTCGGCGTCTTTTTCTGTGATCTGGTCTATCGTCCTCAAACTGATTAAGGTTATATAGTTCAGGGGACATGAAAGAGTTTCTGTCCACTCCGGAATGACCTTCACTTTGAACGGACCTTGGAGTAGGCACCATCGGGGTAACGCCTCGTCCGCCTACCTGATACATACTTCTTTGGTCTGGATTCACACAAATATTGCACACACGTTGTTGTACGGGATTGGGTGTCTGCATCCAGTATTGATCCTTATATTGGTCTACTTCTGGCATCTGACAGTTACATCCGGAATCATAGTCTTGTGTTCCGTATATGTAGCCAGAGTTTCGTAAATCATTTTCTATTGACTGATATATATTTCCCTCCTCTTGTCTTGCCATTAACTCCCGTTGATATTCTTCTAACCGACATTGATCGCACTGACAGGGTCCCACCCCAGGGATATTATCAAAGTCATGAGAATTACTTTTCTTCCCACGTGTTTTAGAAGACGACTCCAAATCTTGTCTCATATGTGGCTCCGTTAATCGCCTTTTCTTGGCGAATTGTTTGCGTTTCCATTTCGTTGTGAGAGGATTATCCGTTGTCTCTGTGTCACTGACTATTTTCCGCCTGTCCCCGTAGTAATTGTAAGGATAAACGTTTTGATCAACTTTGTCGTACGGATGACTAGAATAGTTATCACTGTCGTAATAAACACTGTTATTACCTTGGGATACACTGGTATACTGAGTGCCATATTTTGGACACCCACACTTGTACATAGCCGGATCAGTAGGGATATTCTGTGTCCAAAAATCTAACACCGCTGGATGGCCCTTTTGATCAGAACTTCCGGTTTGTGACCCTGATAACCTAAGTGAACCGCTATATATACTTCCGCGGACGGATTCGTACGTATGGTCGGTATGATTGGTGTCTGTCCCACTGTACGTAGCGGATGTGTCCTCCGAAGGTTCTGCTGGGAGAGGCGTATCCAATCTTCCACGTTTGTACTGATATTTACTTCCTTTTTGAGAGCCATAGAACCGGTCGAAACTTTTCGGAATGATGAAATGTTTTTCTTCTGGTTGACTGTCTAAAAGTCGAATTTCTACACCAGCGTCGGCTAGGACGGACTAAAAGCAAACAAAACACGAATCTTAATCATAATTACTGCATGTTAAAATATTGTCACAAATATTTTTCTATTCTGAATATCTAGGCAATCTTCGACAAAGTTATATCTATAAATGCGTCAACGCTTCGTTTTATTATTTTTTCTTCTTCATTTTTTTTTGTGAACACATCCGTCGGATCTGACGGATTTGTGTTGTAACCAAAATCATCAAGATTAAAAATGACGTACCTCTGTCGGTCTGGGTATCATTTCTCCTGATCCATCTGGGGACCTCATATACAGATGGTTTTCCTGTCTCGCGACCGTATGTGGGGTCGTTGTCCCTGTCGGAAATTCGGAACTCTTCAGTCTTGCCCGATGTTGCCTAAAAATATGATAATGATTGGTTAAAAATGTTTGCAGTGGCATGTGAATCAAAAGGATACATTATTTTTTGAACATTTTTGAAAGACCATATATATTTCCTAAAAACTAACTAGGGTTTACAGGGAACACTTTGAGCGTAATGCCTATTACGGGTGAACAATTATCGTTACGGTGTCAGCAGTTCAGTCGACATATAGGTCTTACAGCTCGCAATATCGTTATACTATACTAACAACCTTCCAAATTGTCTCTGTATTAAACAAGATAGAGGAGTAGTGTCTAATGGGCTGGGTCAGAGGAAACCACTCCATGAAATAGCCATGACTTTAGGACACGCCTATCCAGACTAGCCATGCTAGGGTTAGATCAGTCCGGTCTCGTTACCACGGACAATCTAATGGTTACCGATATCCGAAATCCATTGGACGGAAAGAGTAGTTCAGGAGAGCTTTCTTTAATGAGGCCCAACTGTACTATTCATCCTTTCTCCAATGCATATTTCTCCAAACTACAGACGTCTTTCAGCAGCACAAGGGATATTAAGATGTTATATACATAATTGGTCCAGACGAACATCTCTATTTGAGCGGTTTAAACAGTATGTTACGAGTTACGGATACAAAGAAAGCTTGGCCCACAAGGCACAAGCGGGGCCAGTTAAGGTAATTGGATGTTTCTGAAAACCCGATGGGGTATTAATTGTCTGTAGCTTTTACTATTTTACGTCATAATGGTTTGGTATTCATTTCAAATCCCAACAAATCACGTCTACACTGATACATAGAAAGAGAGTAAATGGTTTCGAATGTACTGTGGAGTAGATGCATTTGAGTGAAGATAAATCTGATATCTTTGAAATCTAAATATAGTTCCCTGATGGCAGATATAGCATAGTCATTTCAAATATTTGCCCATCGGAATTAAAAGGACCCTTTTTTCCTGTATCTACTGTTAGATTGATCAATCAAGTATGACAATTTAAGCAGATTCCGGCCCACTTGCATCTATCTAAGACGGCTGTATTCAAATGCCAATGAATCAAATGTGACAGAATTTTAGAGAAGAATGATCGGTTCCAAGACGACTCAATATTGACAGAAGTAGCTGGACCCTTAACGGGAAATAAAGCTACATTTTAACTACAGGAATAGTTTGCTTTGTATCAAGGTCAAAGAGTATTAACTAAATTCCAGGTTACTTTAACCAATCGACGAGAAAAAAAATGAGCAAAATATGTAGAATTATTTATTAACGTACAATGCAGCTGCGACCATGCTGACGTCATGTTGTACATATGGAGGCGAATGTTGATTCTATAGCCTCGTGTCAGCGCTATTAACATTGGGAGACAATCCATACATAACTACCCACACAATGAAATTAAAAATAGTGTCTTGGAGTTTGACATACTGCACAGAAAACGGCACTTCCTTTGTTAAAGAGCACAGGGCATTCATAACATCAGAAACTTCTTTCTTTATTTCTATATCTTTATAAAATCACTCAATCATCGAGGTGTAATTACTTTAGGGATGTATCTGACTGTAACTGGGACTTTTTTTAATTTATATGTGACTTACTACGAAAACACTGTCATTGTTGATGAAACATGGTGTCAGATCATACATGTTATTGTTCACTGCCATTCCTGGCCGGGCACTTTTTTGACATTTTCGATATATATCTCATATCTGAAATATATTCTTAGAATGACATTGTATAGTGCAGTTAGCTACACGAACCATCTCCGTCAATGAGGCGAGGAGGAGGGGGGGGGCATTACTTAGTAGTAAAGGCCCATGATTTGCAACTATTATGATGTAGCGAATCACACAACAACCGTGTACATATCCATTGTTTTTATTGCCTCGTTCTGACGTACTACACATATCACCACGGCCGTTGTTGACGGGGCGCGGAGGTGTAACGCTACAACGTACAGTGCTGTAATAAAATCGCGATAACACTATCGTGTGGCGGGAAGGAAAACACAGATAAAATGGTACGGCTATGATTTGTATCTATAGAAATAAAACTAGCGAGTAACCATCGTATACTGATAGTTGGTGGAGTGTATCTTCTAGTCCAATCATTGATTTGTTCTTTTTTGATATCTAGTCTTCACGTTTTCAATGGAAACGTGATATGAGCCTACGGCACACACTTTCCATCCATAACCCATGTTAAACAGCCTATTGAATATCGACAACAAATACATGGTGTTTATTCCATTTTTATAGCTGTGCCATAATTACGAGTGTAAATCATTAATACAGTTCCTACCACTAAAGTGGAACAAACAGACAGATAAAATGCACATGTAACGTTGTTAGAAAACATCATTGCAGCCAGATGTTTTAAAAGGGCCCAGGTCAATAAGTGCAAAGATGGCAAAACGCATGCCTACAAGCACTAATGTATACGAGGTATTTTTTTTCAATGTTGTAAAACTTGATGTATCCAATTTGTTTTACTTATGTATATATTTTTCTAGTTAAAATCACACAATCAAAAGAAGCCATAAAAATACTTTTAACAAGGTTAACTTTAGCGTACCCCCTTTTCTCGTTTCTCCTAGTCCTGTCACCACATATGTTTCATATAACAGAAAACATCGTGGGACATTATCCGATAGAGTTGGTATAGATAGTAATTCTCCAGACAAACTTCATTGAGCCATGTTCTAAATAGACTAAAGAGTTAGGATTGACGTGGCAGTATCCCTTTGAGAGTTGCATCATAGACCAGCATGACATGTATTGGTGAGCTGTGTGGCAATACATTCAAGTTTATTGGGAATTAGTTGTAATTCAAGGACAGCATCAAGGAATAACACGTTTATTCAACCAATTTCCCAAAGACGAAGGCCAGTTTGTCAACTGGTGTTGTCCTTGTGTTCCTCACTATTATATTATCACCACATACCAAGCAGGCCCAGCACATTTGCTCGTTTACAAACTGTTGGCTTACTTCATTATCACATGACATTAAAATCTCCCCACATGGTCGCAATTCGCTTCAAATAATGAGATTTTCCAAAAACAGAACCCGCATATTTAATGCATTCAACAGTATTTTTCTAAACAAGTATTTAAATAAGAATCCGGGTAAATGACACTTAGAGAAAGTGTGATGTGTTTTCGAGACTGTTCTAAATTTTATTCGATTTTTTTTTACAGAAGAAATATTTCTGTAATATTAATATTTATCAATGATTGGTCATTAATGTGAATCGCGTGTTAGTATTCGACACAGAAATTACTTCCTAAACTGAATCAATCATCTATATGTAATGATAATGTACATTTTTTATTCATATTTTGTATCCAAGCAGGTGACAGTGATTTTGTGAGAAAAGTGGGCTTTGGTTCTACTTTCTGTCCCCAGAATGACATATGAGGCATTCTATGTGTGTTGATATGGTTTTTAAGACTGACCACTTCATTTACATACGTATGCATTTTATGTTTTCGACAGGAGACAATGTATATCGACCTAAAGTGCTGAACTGAATCTTCAACAGTTTGTCGAACATTGTATTTGATTTTCAGTGTCATCTTTTCTTCTTGATGTTAGTCGCAACCCCCTCCCCCTCCCAAGAAACCCCCCCCAAAAAAACAAAAAAAAAAAAAAAAAAAAAAAAAAAAAAAAAACAAAAAAAAACCCAAAAAAAAAAAAAAAAAACAAAAAAACAAAAAAAACCCAAACAAACAAATAACAAAAATCAAAAAATCAAAAATTTAGAAATAAATTGATAATCTCAGTCTATGGAACACAGAATAAAATTATCTAAATCATTTGGTATTCGGTTAACTAATTACCATGGTAACGAAGAACAGCATATGAAAATTTTTATTGTGAAATTATATGAAAAATGAACTCACCTTTTAAAGAAGAACGCAACTAGAGCGACAAAAAGGAAGACAACACAGGTGATTGTAGCGAGGATGGGGATGAAACAGTTTGCATCGCAGTCGATGAAGATGAGGGACTGTCCAGAACTCTCTAACACCGCGTTCTGTAATTCTTTTAGGTTAATATTGCACCGTTTTGCCACCCTGTCTTTTACCCTCTGTCTATCTGCCGGCTCTGACAAACGGGTCCAATTGAGCTGCAGAAACAATTCCCGTTTCCATGGTGGTGGACAGGGAAAGGCGTCCCACATCTTGTCGGGTTCAATGACGTTTTTTGGATTACAGGAGGACGGGCAGGTGCCGGGGTGCACGACGGCGAAGTATCCGGACACATTGGCCTCCACGGCCTGAAATGAAAACAGATAAATCATTGGTCAAAATTCACTCGAAGATCCGGTAAGAGAAGGTCATTCAATCACAATAATGTTGTTTCGTATTCCTCCAAATCTACACATATGGTCCCTCTCCCAGATTCTTTCAGTTAGAAGTAACCTTACGCATTAGTCGGAAAATACGTTTCGTAAACAAACTCAACTAAACAAACTAAAATGCCATAGATCACAGCAGACAAAATACAACAGAAAAACGTGATTTGACAGAAAAGAACATATTACAGATGTAGTTTGATTATCGCTAGGATGCTACCTTAATCCACTTGACAAAAGGCACGATTGTCGTTTCTAGTTGTCAATACTGACCACAATAAAGGAATTAATTCAGCAAAATTATCTCCATAGCACACAATATTTTAGATTTCTTTTTGTCGCTTCACCAATTGAGTAGCTATTGTCATCAAAAGAACTATGGTTCGATTAATGGTCTGATTAGAGCAATTACCATTCATCAAACGACAACATTAATTATCAGAATCTCAAACTCGTGCAAAAAGCACGCACAATATCCATTTCTTAAGCGTAGGTAATCCTGTTGATGGAAAATCTCACATTAAAAAACAGATTGATTGAATGAAGTTGATGTGATGATCTTAAGTATTCTAATTCGAAAAAGGAATGAATCACGGATTCATTGTCCTGTCATGGTAGTGATATTATTCCACGCCAATAGCGTGTTATATAATGTATGTTATAAAAAGTTAACTATATGATACGTCTACATTTTCCGCAATTAAGACAATGGATTTGTGGTTGGTTGATAACACAGGGGTTCCGTACATTACTCTAACATGACACATAAAACGGTCATCGTTATCATTACAACTATTGCTATGACACCTAACGGCCAGAACCATCATTAAATCCGTTGACTAATGTTATTGTGTCCGCGTTTTGTAGTCTGACCCCAATACAAGCGACTAAATTGCAATCTGTTATGTACGACATATTCTTAATTTGACAATTATGTGAAATAAAATCAATAAATGATACAAAAAAAATTGTTCTGAAAGTAGAAGCATTTTGTTCTGTATCATTATTTAAACGCGAGCCGCCTAGACCTGTCGTGGAAGCTTTAGCAATAAACGCCGTGACCTCAAATGTACTTCACAAACAGACCGCTTGGACTCGACGGGTTTTCAATATATATTTTCGATGCCGGCGAATAATAGAACGAAGTGTCAAAACATCGTCACTCTCAGTTAACTTGACATGACTTCGCAGCGTGAGTTTCGTTAATACATCGCCGACGAACCTTAATCATGTTCCAGTTTCTTTTAAATTGGGTCGCAATGCCATTGAAAACAAAGGCATTATGAGGCCGCAGTTGTCAAAGACAAAAAAATGGTCGTAATCCTAGGCAATTGAAGACCAATCATTGGAACTCTCTGCGTGTAATTATAGCGATTTCTCAATGGATGACTCAATATGGCTCTCTAGTTATGTCATCGCCTCTCAGTCCGACTTCATCGTTTACACTGGCCACTGTTTGATGCAGTTATCGAGATTTGAGACTTGGAATAATTTCTCTAGTATCGTGCCATTTGCATACCTTATCATTGCCGGGGGAGGTCTTTAATTACCGATGTTCACTGGAGTCTGTATTAAAAGTAACAAAATGGAAATGTTGTGCCATAAGATATCTATCAGACGGATCGACCAATCATTCTCACAATTTTTACGTCAGTGAGCATAGTCTTAGGGGCATCGGAAGGATTTTGAGAGGTCTGATCTGTGTATCGCTTATTCAAGGCACTTGGAAACAAGAAATGATTTTGAATTGCACGCTGAATGGTTATTGCCAAAAGCAATACGATCTAGAACATGGATGACGTCAAGGTGTGATGGAATTACATAGCAGAACACATGGCGTATTGAAAGACAGTGAGGCAAATACAAAGCACACCGAACAAAACGATTTCATGGATATCTGGATTTAGATATAACGAGTCCTTATATCCTTAAAATGATTTGTAAAACTAGACACTTTTAGTAAGTACTAACTATAGTGCATATTTCGGCAGTCAGTGGTAAGATCAGATTCTAAAAAAAAAATTCTTAAAGCATTACTATTCTTCACGAGAGTATGGCAACGTTTATGAAAGATTGTGAGTAAGATACAGTAGAGGCAAATAATGAACTAGACTGAATCATACAGCTGTTATGTTTCTCTGGGGTTTCCAGTGGGAGTATTTATACCTATTATGAATTTTTCATTTCTGGAAAGCTATATTCTGGGATCTCCAAGAGAGAGAGAGAGAGAGAGAGAGAGACAGAGAGAGAGAGAGAGAGAGAGAGAGAGAGAGAGAGAGAGAGAGAGAGAGAGAGAGAGAGAGAGAGAGAGAGAGAGAGAGAGAGAGAGAGAGGGAGAGAGAGAGAGAGAGAGAGAGAGAGAGGGAGGGAGGGGAGAGAGAGAGAGGCATGAAGCTGGATGTGTTTGATGCTCGTTAGATTGCTGTATATCGTGTTCTCGTTTGAGAACGCGACCCTATTTACTCAGATTGTCCAAAATTTACATGGCGGGTGTCTTCGATGAAGCAGAAAACGCGCATTTCAGGAACAACTGGTCTAATAATGCATCTCCAGAAGGACTGACATTAGTCAGTTATATTCTCTATCAATTATTATGCTCATTATGGTTTTTCTTTCATGTTTTGATGTAAAAACAAATTATGAAATCTTATGAAACTATTCTTAGAAGCATCTATTTTTACGAACATAGACGGGTAGAAATTGAAACGGTGAGACTAATTCCATAAAATCTCAAGTAAAGTGAAAACATATTTCTGACACTTTTAATCCTATGACTTGAAGTCAACGTAAGGAGGACAATATCAAAGGGGCGCAGCCATTTTGTTTTGCTATTTTCTATTCTTTACGTTACGTCATCGTCTATATTTTGATTAATCACTAACTTGCGTATCACACATTTGACATTTGTACAAATATTTCATGAATATCATGGTTGGTTATGTGATATAACAAACAAGATCTCGTGTAACTTTTCCCTCCCGCGCCCGTGTCAAAGACAAACGGCGTTGATTTTACAAAGGTGGTCGCTATTGTTTTCTCGGTCACTCCGCTAGTTTGCATGGCAACCGATCTTTACCCCCAATGACATTTGACAGGATTAATCCAAAGTGAATTCAAATTTAATTCGTGCTTGTTGCTCTGCAAATAAAACGCTCGATTCTTGAATATGTCATCCTCCTAAATAACTATTGAAGATTGCCTGACTAGCACCATCCTAATGGAAACTGTAGTGGGGATTATCACTACTTTGTCAGACTGAATTTTAAACTTCCCGTCCAATACAACTACGAATACCAAAGGCTTCTCAATACGAAAGATCGTACGGAAATTAGGAAAATATTTTTTGGAGTTAGAACCGAAGAGAATCCCATTAGTGAAAGGAGAATCAATTGGAAGCAATGAATTCCCAGCCCAACTGTACCTGTGTCACTTCTGACGGAGGATTTGCTTAGCGACGAAGAATCAAAGGAGTGCATGTATAATTAAAGATTTATTTGGTACGTTGGATAAAAAATCAGATTCTACTGAGATTCGAAATGCATTTCATTGGTGACAAAACACATCCATATTAATCCCGTTTCGAATTCAGCTGAATTTTAAATGAAATGGTTGCCGATACAAACGCAATTACACTGTAATGTTTTGATCAAGGAAAGACAGACTTGTGGAACACAGTGATAGCTACCACACGCCTGGATACGGGCAAGGCATTTTGCCAAGTTTGTATACACATTTTATTTTGAAAGGGAACCATTAAAATGTAAAATATGTTCTTTAAAATACCATCAAAGACCGTACCATATATATAACAATATGTTTTCTATTTCTTTTATTGGTATAGTCAATTTTAGACAAAGGTGGTTGGCCTTGAGTCGATTGCAGACATGGAGGGGAACGATGTCTTCAACCTAATTACAAAACATGCATCCGAATAGATTAAGCATACGGGATATGTGCGTTGTCCTGCAGTATCATCTATGACACTTGCAAAAAAGCACATCAATAAGACCAAGAGTCTGTTTGTAACATGGTTAGATGGTCTTTTGAAATGTGATTAGAGGAAGCAGTGGTGTCTAATGGCTTCTATATACCAACACGTTTGTAGCAATCGTTCAGACCAGGGTCGCTGAGCCATCTCGTGGTCTCTGGTAGAAGTAAAACGAAAGACATCAACATCACATTTAAGGAGTATAAGCCGGATAAATTTGATGAATGGAGAGTGAGGAAAGTAAGGAGAAATGTTGACAAAATGGCAAAACCAAATACATATATATATAAATAAAAATGCCATAAAAATGGTAGATTTTTTATTTAAGGTATATCACAATTTTATATTTATATACAAACGTACTGAAGAGTAAACATTTACCACGCTATGTATATGTACAAATCATCAGGCTGCTTTTTCCGTAAATTGAAACCGCAAAAAAAAACTTCTAGACCCAGGTCAATGAAACAAAGTCAAAATATGAGCTGAAAAGGATATTTACAAAGACCTTTGTAATACTTCAAGGGAGATCGAAAAAAGAGCGTTGGAACACAATGACTGTGGTGTTCTTAATTAACGTAGTTGACGTCCCATGCAAAATATGTTCCATAATAAGTTTGATACTTGCACTAAAGCAAGGACAGTTCAGCAGAAAAGGTGTCGAAACTTCATTTCACCAAAATTCTCAATTACGTCATCAGTCTTCAGTGTTGAATTTCGGAGACTTTTGTTTAATTAAAGGGAACGAAGCTGGTACAATATTTCTAATCTCCACTTACCTACATACGTTTTCAGTTAACATGGCGAACGGAGTGCAGAAAATTTCCAGCAACTTTGTAATCTACGATTTTTTTAACACGACGCAATTAGTTGCTTATGTTCCATATAAGCAAGTAAGATTAGTCACGTGTTCGGATTGTGATTACATTAGAAA